TGCCAAATCGTGTCCATTCCCGCTGTATGACGAAAACAAGTACGAAGATACTTTGCACAAGAACTTCAAGGACCTTTGTTATCGAACACTAGACTAGTGTAGCTGTAGCTTACATGGTTTATGCATTTTCCTTTATTCTACTGATGAAGCAAAACCATAATCGTGTTTGTGTCGTGTTTCTGGGCTCTGCGTAGAGAGTTCAAGTAATTAATTCGAGGAGGTCACGATTCCGGATGCACATATTCAACAGCAGATCTCGAAGCTTCTTTGCTATCGCAAAAAAAGAGGCCGTGGACGCTGCTTACAGAAAGCATTCAATGAACTAGGACTTCCGAAGATGGCTAGATTGGAGCCTTCTACGCTGATGCCAGATGTGGGGTTATTCGAACAACAGCAGTGTCCTTTCAGCTGCATCTTTTATGTGGCCGGGGAACAAGGCCGTGTGTTGCACGTGTCTCCTCTGTTCCAAATCCCTGGGGTCAGCTTGAGCTCATGGTGCATCGACTTGCTACACACGTGGCATTATGGACCCATGTCTACATACTTGACTTTTACTCTTCGAGCTTTGCTGAGCACAGAGATCTACAAGCCTGGCAATTCAGCAGTTCTAGACAAAGAAGAAAATGACAAACTTTCGTTGATGGCCATCAAGGCGGAACTTTGGATGTTTTACAAGTATAGACGTGCCACAGACAAGGAGTGGAGCAAGAAGGGTTCTGAGGTGGGGAGCCAAAAGATTATAAGACTAATGATGTAGTCGTGAATCGTTGATGAGTATTCGAAGACCCGAAGGTGCATATGTATGTTAGAGGTAAACATCGAGAGCCAAGCCCACAACAGTTATGTATAGCCATTGTAGAGAACTATGTAATATTAGGATCTTTGGTGTAATGTATAGGTGGATTAGAGGAATGTTTTCCGGAGCCCAAATAGTTTGTGGGTTAAAGCATTGTCAAAGAACCTCGTGAATAGCAGCCCATTAATGCTAACCTGATTCCCGAAACAAAATATACTTAATTGTAGGTGTGGAACCTGACTCTCACAATGCTGGCCGAGAAAGCGCTGAAGTGCAAAGCAGCGGAGACACACGGTTTACTTCGTTTTGTGGTCATGACGCTTGAAAAATACAAGGAAGTGCTTCAGGGCAGTGAGAAGTCGCAAATGTTTGATCTTCTTCGTCGGGCAGGGTGTGCAGCTGAAGCATTCGATCAGACCATGAACGAGCACAGCAGGGTGTTTCCAGAGGATGCTTGCGATGCTTTGCATTCTCACTACCATCGCTTCATACAGCTTTGCTCAAGGGCTGGTGTGCCTTTTTTACCAAAGGGCCACCTTATGTACCACCTTGCTTTTCAGGCCAGACATCGCGGTAATCCGAGGACAGTTTCAACTTATGTGGACGAGAGCTATAACGGGGCTATAGCTAAAGTTTGTCGCTCGGTGCATCGCCGCAATTGGGCGATGGCGGTTTACCGCAAATTGCAAATGCTGGAAGCCCTGGTTTCTTCTGCTGACTGACGAGTCGCTCATGGTCGCTTGACAGCATAGCCAGGTGTTTCCAATCCTCAATTATTTTCAATGGTAGTCCCCATAACCCTAGACCCTAAACCCTAAACCCTTAAACCCACTAAGACTGATTCGATCGACCACGCTTCTGGAATCTTTGAGAAAGTAGTTCTGGTACTTGACACCCAGTTTCACTAATCAACTCAACCTACGAAACCCTTATTCTTGATAATATGGGCGAAACCCTGATCGAGGCATGCAGCCACCTACGATCGATTCGCTGCTGCCGATTCGAGCTGCTTGGTGTGCTCGCAGGAAGGAGGACGTGGCTTGAGGGCATTTGGTGTCGGGGTAACGCTTCGTGTTTCGAGTTCGGGTGCTTAAGGGTTTGCTACGGTCCTGGTTCCAGGCTTATGTTGCCTGAATCGAATTACATAACTATAGTGTAGGTCGGTGGCAGGGCTTTTGGGGCTTAAGGGTTTTCTATAGCTAACGATAAGACGAAAGCTTTCGGTCCTGGCTTTAGGGTCTTGGTGTTCACACGAAGGATTGCCTCACGCTTTGCTGTTTTGGTCAAAAATTTAGGGTCGAGGGTGTAGGGTTCAAGGTCGAAGGGAAAAAGGTTTGGGTCTCGGGGTTTCGGGGTCAGGGTCAGGGTTTAAGGGTTGGGGAAAAGGGTTTTTTCGAGCTTGGTATTTTAGGGCTTAGGGTTTCGGATGACCAATCCCTCATTCTCCAACAAACCTGAAAGCTCTGAAGCTCCAAACCGTCGAGCCCTGCCCGGATCTTAATTCTAATCCAACACAACCAACAAAGGACGGTGGCTTTGGTGTCTGGGTGAGCCCTACGGTGGATCACGAGTCTTGGTGGCTCCCAGAATTTTTTGAGCTTTAAGGGGGCACTGGTCACGGCTTGGGTTTGGGTTTGGGTTTTGCTTCGCACAAACCATGCACAAGCTAGGAAATGCGACGATGGTCCAGATGATCTCAGATGGGGCTTCAGCCGCTTTATTTCGTGTACAGTGTGCTTTCCGCACGACGGGGCTTACGAACTTTCGATATGTGAAATATATAAGGTGTATGCTTCCAAAGAACTTGTAATCCATACCAAAAGGCTTTAAAAGCCGAGCCCTGTGCCGAGAGTCGACCACCCGCAGAGCAGATCGTCGTGGGTCGCTGCTCACCGGAAACAGCCCGGTGGAAAGTTTACGGGGCTAAGGGGTATAAAGTTTCGGGTGTTCTGGGTTTAGGGTTGATGTTTAGGGTGAACCTTAAGGCTAGGTAGGAGAGGTGTAGGGTTAAGGGGGTGTGTGAGGTAGGTTTAAGATTTCGGGTTTTCTGGGGCTAGAATGATCCCAAAATTTATTCTACGTTGACAGCGAAGCCTCAACTTAAGCCTTCGCAAATCCGGCTTA